TTCGGGGAGGAACTAACGATTCTGCTGACTGCTGTATGGCTGATCTATAGTTTAAATTGTCATCAGTTCCCCTGGCCCAAGCGCTATTTTTTGTTACTACATGTTCACATCCTTCCAACTATGAGTTTTGAGCTGTATTTCTGGTGACTCGGGGAGGCCTGAGAGAGAAGCAGCTTTTCTACAAACAAGAGGCGGGCAGAGGATACGGGGTGGGGGCTGGGGGGGGTCTGTCCCCAGAAGGCCTCATAGGGTCCTGCTAGGTTACATTACTGCAAAAGTTGCTGAAATTTCCAGCTCTTCCCATTTAAAGACTATTAATTTGGGGACGACGTGTACCCAGAGTCTTGAGCTTATGATGACTACTTAACTCAATGCTTAATAAGATATTAGCAACTGTCAATTAAGCTTTAATGATAGTATTAAAATGCAAGCTAGAATAATTCATATACTTTTCTGTGACTTGGAAACAGAACTTTTGTTCCACAGAGCAAAATCTATTGAAACAGCTTTTATGCATAAATCCAAACAGAATAATTTGCATGAAACTGATAATAATTAACTCACATTTGCATAGGGCTTTAAGATTTACAAAGTGTTTTAACATTCATTTCCCCATTTAATCCTCATTACTATGTTGTTTTGTGGGCTATAAACTGAATATTTAAATTTCCTGTTACACAATCTGAAACAGAAACAACGCAAATAGTAGTGGCTCTAAGAGTGAGCTGAGGGCTAACTTAAATTTACAGAAGAAACCTCACAATTTTTTTTTATGATAAAACCAGCAACAATTTCCTTGAAACTAGAATTATAATGTTTAATGATTCTCAAGCTTAAATTACAGGTTCAAACTGTTCAACAGCATTACATTATGTAGGCAAGTGAGGTTCAAACGCAAAGATAAAAATGAATAAGTAGCTATAAGACTAGTCAAGCCCTTCATCACCACAAAGAGACAAACAAGAAAGGTTGAAGATCTGCTGCTCAAAATAAGTGTGAAATAACCCTAAACTATTTTAGAAGGATTTTAGCTTCTAAAATTAGTTTGCTCTCCTTATGTTTTGAGGACTTTTTGGTTCCAAACATATGACAACAATGAATAAAATATTTTAAAAGAGCATTTAAAATTATGACATTTGAGACTGAGATAACCAACTCCAAGGAGCAAATGGAAATATCCAATACTACACAGCACATCTGAGGGCCTCTGCATACACGAGTAGGCGGAGAACTGGGGGAACCTGGCCCCCGAGGAAGAGCAGGTTGGCATGGGGTCATGCACTCTTGAGAGCAGTAGGGATGGATGCTGTCAACTGTTGCCTGTGGCTGCTACTTATTTGAGCCTCATGCCTAGAGAAGCAGGTGAACACTCACGTCACCTGGCAATAAGATGCTGAGCCGAGCCACCCCCATCCTCACTGAGGGAACAAGAGCCAAGAACCACCAGAAGGAAGCATGATCCTGGAGCAGAGCCCCAGGGTGCTCAAGTGGGAGGCAGGTGGATGTAACCTCAAAATGCCTAAGCAGGGAGAAATAAGAACAGAGAAAGAGATAACAAGCTTCAACACATGATGAGCCTGCAAAATAAAAAAATAAACAAATAAATCTATAGCTAAGAGAGACCATCCATAAATCAGAATATAAATTAATGCCAATCAAATTGCTTGGTGTGCTCAAAGGGATAAGTAAACAATGATACCCATAAAAACAAACCAGAAATCCAAAGCAGTTAACCATAAAATAAGAACAGATGATGGTAAATAAAAATTAGTAAAATTAAATCTATGAGTGTTGAAACTAAAGCACAATAAACAGACAAGATAAAGCCCTGGTTGGAACTAAAGAGGAAAAGGAATTAGTAACTGGGAAGAAAACAGTCTAAAGAAAGCACTCAGAATGCAGCACTGACAGATAAAGAGATTCTGAAGATATCTACACCTGTATGGGCACACAGAGAGAAACGTATGCTCAGTGGCATCACGACTCGATGGACATGAGGCTGAGCAAGCTCAGGGAGCTGGTGATGGACAGGAGGCCTGGCGTGCTGCGGTCCATGGGGTCGCAGAGAGTCGGACACGGCTGAGTGCCTGCACTGGAATGAACAGAGAGAGGCTCAAGAAACACCTCCGAGTAGTACTATGCAGATAGAATGAAGGCGATGGATGGTGGAGAAGAAAGCTTTTCAAAGATAATTGCTCAGATTTTCCAGAACTGACAAGAACATGCCAATGAATTTTAAAGTTAGATAAAATGAAAGTTATACTAGAGCAGCATAAAGACATTGAATTTGACGCAAGAAAAAAGGTAATTCCTGAATAAACAGCCATTAATGAAAGTGAATTACTCTTTCAAAATCTTTACAAAAAGAGGACCCCAATTCCCCACAGTATACAAGTACATTTAACTCATCTTCAAGGAATAATTTCTGTTACATAAAATGAAAAGTTAATGCAAAGACTATTATTAAGCTCTAGCACTTAAAATGGTGTGGGGCTTATGCAGGAATAGAAAAATATATGAAACAGTCACATCAATATATTAATATTGAAACAGAGATGTCCCTATAAATCAATAGAGAAAGGGCAGGCTAACTAATAAACATCCTTGGACAATAACCATGGAAACACATAGTTAAACATACTGGAAAAAATGAGACCCCTACTTTATGTCATACACAAAATACATTTCAGATACATTAAACATCAAGGGGAAATTATTTTAACATTAAAACTTTCAGAAGTAAAAGCAGGATATTTTTATAATGTTTATGGATAAAGTACAAACCCCTGGGGATAAAATTATTTTAAAAATTCCAAGTTAAACCTTAAAGTGTCTGTGTCTCAAAGAGCATCCTTTTAAAAGTTAAAATTTGAGTCATAAACTGGGAGAAGATAGCATGGAACCACTAAAAGATGAATACCCAGAATATCAAAAGAAGTCCTCCAATTCAAAAAGAGACAAACCACTCAGTGGCAAAGAATACAGACAATTTAAAAAGAACCACATATTTGAAAAGATGCTGCAGTTGAGTTCAGTCACTCAGTCATGTCCAACTCTTTGTGACCCCAAGGACCGCAGCACGCCAGGCTTCCCTGTCCACCACCAACTCCCGGAGCTTACTCAAACTCATGTCTATCGAATCGGTGATGCCACCCAACCATCTCATCCTCTGTCATCCCCTTCTCCTCCCACCTTCAATCTTCCCCAGCATCAGTTTTTTCAAATGAGTCAGTTCTTTGCATGAGGTGGCCAAAGTATTGGAGTTTCAGCTTCAGCGTCAGTCCTTCCAATGAACACCCAGGACTGATCTCCTTTAGGATGGACTGGTTGGATCTCCTTGCAGTCCAAGGGACTCTCAAGAGTCTTCTCCAACACCACAGTTCAAAAGCATCAATTCTTCGGCACTCAGCTTTCTTTACAGTACAAATCTCACATTCATACATGACTACTAGAAAAACCACAGCTTCGACTAGACAGACCTTTGTCAGCAAAGTAATGTCTCTGCTTTTTAATAGACTGTCTAGGTTGATATCTTTATCAGGCATCCCTAGATATAGGCATTGAAAATCATACATATGCACGAGAACAGATAGAAAGATTGAGGTTTGTGTGCGTGTGTGTGCATACACACATGTGTACATGTACCCAGTTCATATCTGGTCCCTGAAGTTCGTCTGCTCCATGCCTACATACCTACTTGCCTGCCTACACATATGCATAGCCTTTCATCGCATTACGACTTGTAATAGAAAAAAAAATAAGCTTAAGACAGAAACCATCTAAGTATCCACAATTGAAAAACAGACAAAGCGCTGTTTAATAATAATACAGAGTACTATAGAACAGTCTAAATGGGTAAATAAGAACTAAGAGCATCGTAATATATAAATCTGGACAATAAAGTTGAGAGAAAGAAGTCTAGTTGCCAAATCACATATACAGTTCAATTTCATATATTTAAATACAGACAAAACGGGGACTTCCCTGGTGGTCTAGTGGCTAAGATGCTGCACTCCCAACACAGGGGGCCCAAGTGTGACCCTGGTCAGGGAACTAGATCTCCCGTACGGCAGCTCAGAGTTCACACGCCTCAACTAAAGATCCCATGTGCCGTAAATAAGACTTGACGAAGCCATTAAATAAATAGATTTTTTTTTAATTGAAAAAAGATTTTAAAAAAACAGACAAAATGGTAGTATTTGTGAGGAGACTTGTATTTGTTTTGGAGTTTTTGCTTGCTGGTTTGTGTTTGGCCACACCACGAGGCTGGCAGGATCTTAGTTCCCTGACCAAGGACCAAACCCATGCCCCCTGCAGGGGAAGCCCAGAGCTCTAACCACTAGACCACCAGGGAATTCCCAGGACACATATACTTGTCGTGAGAGTTGCACAAAAGCTCATGATGAACATAAGTGCAGGCTGTATCTCTGGGGAGGAAGAGAGAGTGATGGGATTTAGGACGGGGGGCAACACAGATTCAAAAACTGAACTAAAGTAAATGTGGAAGATATTTACTAGAACTGAGATGCTGATACAAGCCTGTGTGTTATGTAATTGTGTGTTTGAATATTTTCTAATAAAAATATGTTTTCATTAATTTGTATCAGAATATTCCAAACAAAAGCTAATTGACAAAAAGTCGGTAGGCTAAAAGAAAGCAGAACTCTAAATTCACAAGTAGTATCAATAAAAATGGCTAAGACCCTCAGGCCACCTGTCATTTATTAAATAAAAATAAATAACAGTGTGTAATAAATTAGTTGAGTATGTGTTCAGTAAAAAAAGACAAAAGGCTATGAATGACTCTCTGAGCATCAACTAGAAAATGCTGAGATGCGGTGCAAAATGAGGTACTATTTTCTTATAAATGGAGTCCAACTCATGTTAAGAAATCCTCCAAGTGTCGTGATGCAATTTCAAGGTTTTATCTTACGTCCCTTCTATAGAAACCAGTCTTTGAGAGCTGCTTTGGAGGTTCTGGCCGGGGAGCGCAGCCACTCCTACACCTCTGACAACCGTGCTCCTCTGTCCAGGAAGGTGGTCCTCTCCCATCGGATGCCCACCCTCGGGGGCGCACGTGGAGCGGTGAGGCAGGAAGGGGACACCCGGCTGCCGGCCAGACCAGCCAGACCAGCCGTGGCCATCAGCGGGGTGACAGCTGTCACAGCCGGGTGCCTCTCACAGCCAGAGGCCACTCTCTGTCCTCGAACGTGTGTTCCAACATCTGTGGAGCCACAGAAGCAGCACCAGAGTGGCGGCTCCAAGCCCGAGCCCCCGACGGCGGGGCCCTGGCTTGCGGGGTCCCAGGCGCAGGGCCTCCTCAGGCCCGGCCCGCCCTGAGTCAGCTCTAACCGAGGATTCAGGTCTAAGAACCGGCACTCCATGGGCTCTGAGCTTCATCTTACTGCGCCGAACGATCTGACCTTCCAACCCGGGCCACCCTGGGTGTCTAAAGCGCCGCTGTCTCCTACACTGAATAGACCTGGAAGCCCCACCGGCCCGAGCAAGCACCCCAGGTGGGCCGCAGTGCTGGCTGTGTGCCAGCTTCACCCCCCTAACCCCAGAGGCTCCCCTTCTTGCTCCGCGGTGATCTTGAGTCTTTACTCCAGTGCTGGCACGACCCGGACACACCTCCAGGACTGGTTACCCCTCCCTGCGTTCCGGTCCTTACTTTCTCGTCAAGTAAATTTTACTTATTTATTTTTAATATTTATTTCTGGGGAAGGAAATGGCAACCCCCTCCAGTATTCTTGCCTGGAGAATCCCATGGACAGAGGAGCCTGGTGGGCTACTGTTCATGGGGTCACAAAAAGTCGGACACGACTGAGTGACTCGGCACACGCAATATTTATTTATTTTATTTGACCGTGCCGGGTCCTAGCGGAGGCACATGGGCTCCTTAGTTGCGGCCCGTGAAATCTTAGCTGGAGCTTGTGGGGTCTGGCTCCCTGACTAGGGATCAAACCTGGGCCCCCTGCATTGGGAACACAGTCTAAGCTGCCGGACCATCAAGGATGTCCCCAGTCCTTACTTTTCTGCCTTTGCCTGCTCCCCTCTTTTAGATACTTCCAATTGTCTAAAGTAAACCTTCCCCCCACCCTTTGAACATCCCGACTCCAGTTCTTCTCACGTTCTAGCCTCTCACCAAGCGGCCCAAACCGGGGTGTTTCTAGGGTGCTGAGCGAGGGAACAGGACCACCCCATTCACCAAAAATGAGGCCCGTGGCCCCAGCCTCGGACCCGCGATCAAGCGTCCATCCAGGTTTGCTGTGTTTTGCTCCCCAATTTCCCTTTCTGGAGTGAAAGCCCTGCCTTGCAAAATTAATCACAAGAACAGTAGCTACTTTTAGCTGCTGCCAAGGTGAAGGCAGGCAAGCTGAAGCTGCCCTGTGTGCTCCAGGAAGAAGGATGGTAATACAAGGATTCAGAGGTTTCCGTCCCTGTTGGAAGTGCCTGGGGAGAGAGTGTCGGGAAGTCCCCACCAGGTGTCTTGGCCCAACGCACTGATGTCGGTGATTCTTGGGGGCCCCCAGGAAGTTCTGGGAGCCTCTCTGTCCATGTTTCAGCTGCAACGGCCCCCGAAGCACAGGGTCTCCTTCTCTTAGCTCCCAAATCTCACCCAAGTGTTTGCCTTGCAAACTCCCGCACCCACATGGGGACGGAGAAGCTGAAGGAAGGGCCGCCCCTCCTCTCCTCCCGCAGGCGCAGACCTCAGGGGGGGCGGTACCAGCACCCCGTGAAATTACATCATTTAATCCTCCCAATAATTCTTTGACTTGAACAGTTTTTTTCAAGAACAGAAAGAGAAACAAAATTCAGAACAGTGGAGAAATACAAGATTATATAGCCAGAAGATGGCTCAGTTAATATTTGAACCTAGGTCACCTGACTGCAAAATCCCATGACTTAACCACCATGTTAAATGGTCCTGGGAACTTATCCTTCTTCTTTTTTTTTTTTTTGAGTTTTAAGACTCTTTTGCTTAATGAAGAAAAATGGCAGTTTATTACTTCTTCAAATTACAACTATCAATCTGAATATTGTTACCCATGACAACCAAGTAGCACAGAAGGACTTTAGAGTTTAAAACATGCATTCCATAAATACTGCATGGAGTCCAGATACCTCTAAGAGGGGCTTTTTATCAACCTTACAAGGGAACTTTCAACAGGATTTGAACCCTATCCTTCTGATCAGAACATTTGAATCAAGTAATCCTTGCTGGAACCCTCCACCCCTAGATGAAGACGGATCCAACACCTCTAACCTCTGGCTGGGTCCTATTTCAAATTGGATAAAACCTTCCAGAAACAAGGCAGTTCCTCCCAGTTGCCCCAGTTTTCTTGCTGCCTGAAGTTTTCCAGAACTAAGGCTCTTGAGGACCAAGACGGGCAAATTAGGACATGCACTGGCCACTTCCCTTTGACGGCCGAGATGCTCTCAAGAACGACGTTATCTCCACACTAACTCACCTAGACTTGGGCTTTCTCCTCCTCCCACTTGCTCCCCTCTCCTACCAACTCAGCATCCTTCAAGCCCAAACCAGACATGTTAAAACAGCAAGCCGATTCTGTATGGTTCTTGGGTCTAACTGGAACTCCTGAATGCCCTACCACATACGTACGGCAAACACCATTCCCAATTTGAGTTAGACAACAGGCCTAACAAGGCACAGCATGTTCCGTAGCCATTATGGCCTACAGAATAACACACACATCCCCAGCATATGTAAGCCATTCCCCAACGGCTCAGACCTACCTCTCTAGTCCCACAGCCCATTATTTCCCTAAACATGTTTCTTATCTAGTCAAAACTCATCTAGCCACCGTTTCTATGAAAGAACCTCTGTGGACCTCTGTTCAAGGTGTTCTTCCCACGGAGAACCCTTGCTTACTCCCCCGTCACTCCTGGCAAATTACAGCCTATTTCTCAAGGCATGTCATGATTGGTGCCTAACAAATATTATGCTTCTCAATAAAAAACGTTCCACGGTGCTTATATCCTGGCTATTTGGGTGAGCGTGTTATCTCTTCTATCAGATGAAAATCACTGAGGGCAAGGATGATTTTTCTTAAGGATGTCTCTCACCCACATCTTCATAGATACCTACAGCGGCCTAAGGACACAATAGAAAGTCAATTTTAAAAATCTTTCAAATTCAACTTAGGAGTCGAAGGAAGGTCAAAAAAATTGTTACCTAATAAATTAGAATATTTTCTGTTTTCCCGAATTGGAAAAGACAAATGATATATTCTATACATTAATTTCTAGCTATACAAAATAGAGGCTGCCCTGGTGGCTCAGAGAGTAAAGAATCTGCCTGCAATGTGGGAGACCCCGGTTCGATCCCTGGATTGGGAAGATCCTCTGGAGAAGGGAAAGGCTACTCATTCCAGTATTCTGGCCTGGAGAATTGGCTTCCCTGTTGGCTCAGCTGGTAAAGAATCTGCCTGCAATGCAGGAGACCCCGGTTCGATCCCTGGGTTGGGAAGATCCCCTGAAGAAGGGACAAGCTATCCACTCCAGTATTCTTAGGCTTCCCAGTGGCTCAGCTGGTAAAGAATCCACCTGCAAGGCGGGAGACCTGGGTTTGACCCCTGGGTTGGGCAGATCCCCTGGAGAAGGGTACGGCTACCCACTCCAGTATTCTGGCCTGGAGAATCCCATGGACTGTGTAGTCAATGGGGTCACAAAGAGTCAGACACAACTGAGTGACTTTCACTTCACTTCATATAAAATAGAGACTTTAGACTATACAAGCATAAATAAATCTAAGAAGAGACCACCAAAGAGGAAATTCCCCAGGGTGGGAGGTATCTAGTTTCCAGTTACTAATGGATTTTAAATATCATCCCATCCCAAAGTTGGTGACCCTGAGGAATCAGTATATACACATCATAACTTCTGACCATTAATATAATTATGTTCCATTTCCCTAGTTATTTTCAGCCCCATACCTATTCAAATGTTTGGGGTTCCCCACCTCCCCTCCTGAAAGTATTTCCTTCAATATGCTAAATGTGTAAAAGAAACTTTTGCTGAATCCTTGCCAGAACACACTCAACGATGGAGGCTAGAGCAAATATACCTCCTGAGTCATGCAAGTACGGGAATATCCAATATCTAGAGAGAATAACAGCCTAATAATATAGGAGGCCCCAAAGACTGGGGGCACCAGGAAGCCTTAAGGCGCTGCAACTAAACATTCTGCAGCCAGGAATCTTTGTTTCCTCCTGAAGGGGAAAATTCTAACTCCACCCTGATGGAGGTGGACACCAATGGGACCAGGCTGATAAAATTAAAAACCTGAAGAAGCTGGAGTAAGAAGTCAGTCTGAGATCCGAAAGCTGAATATTAAGGTTTAGACTGCATCAGAGGCAAGAGTCGGTAAGCCAAGAGGTAATGGCAGAAGCTACACAACCTCAGCGAGCAGTTATCAGGAGTAATCCACAGGCCTGGGAGCCAGATTTGGAAGACAGAGGTGATGGGTCTTGGGGATCAGGACAAAGTCAAGCAATGAAAACACAAAAAAGTCACAGCAGAGGAAAGGAGGGCAACAGGATTTCAATGACCAAGATAGATACAAACATAGAATTCTGAATGTCACATTGATCAAGACACGGGTACCAAGAATAAGAATACAAGAGTCTGGTTTGTGAAATAATCGATTTCTGAAACTGACACTCTCTGACTTCCTTTATGCATTTTACTAACTGTGAATCATTCTGATTTTACAGGTAGATGAAGAAAGTAATTAAACTAGCTGGAGTTCAGGACCCTTCCAGATACAGGTGAATTCTCCTGGCAGCTGGAGCAGGAGTAGATGAGCTGGGTTTGGCAGATTGTATTTTCCAGAGATGCTCATCACAGTATCTCTCAATGAACTTGCTCTTCTGTAGTTCGATCTTACCATTTCACTACCAAGAATCTAAGTCTCCATACCCTATGGGAGTGGCTTGCTTGGCCTATAAAACAAATGTGGCAGGAGAGACCCGCTGAGGCTTTTGAGAGAGGATCATGGGAAACCTTGCAGCTTCCACCAGGACCTCTTAGAAAGCCTCTCTTGGCCCGCTCCCTCTGAGGATCGCTCTATGCTAGGAGACCTCTAAGCCATGTGGAAAGGCCATAGGTAGGTGTTGGGGGCAGGGGCAAGGCAGGCAGCCCTGGCGGAGCTCTCAACCGTCAGCATCAGCTGCCATCCAGGGGACATCCCACCCCAGAGGAAGCTTCAGATTAACACGGCCTCAGCCTCCCTCTGACTTCAGTTGCTTGAGACCTCAGGCTGAGCCCAGACAAGCAGCAAGGCTAAGAGAGAGAATTAATTCCTTTATGCCATGTGTTACAATGTAGCAATAAGTAGTCAGTAGCTATCAATTAGCTGGCC